AGGGATTACCTTCTACAATGGTGGGTCACTTTTAAAAAAACATCTCTCCGTGGTCTACTCAAGCTAATCCTTCCTGGATGTATACTATGGATCTTATGGAAGACTTACAATAGATGCATTTATGAGGATCACAAACCAACAAAGGTGGGGATTATCATTGAAATCCAAAAACTAATTCAACACTGGTTTTGGTCGAACAAAAAAGCTCAGGCCATTGCTATTAAGGAAGAGATTGAAGCATTGAACCTCAAACCCTACCTTGCCAGAGAACATTGCAAAGAAAGAAGACACACCTGTTAGTCTCTTCTTCAACTGATCGAACGAGATGTGGGGTTAGAAGTTGACGCAGAGGGATAGAAGAATTCCTTCCTCTTTTGTCTCATCTACCTTTACTTCTTATTTTGTTGTTTTTGGCTTTTGCTTTCGGGGCTTCGGTATAGTCCTCCCCGAACTCGTATTCTTTCTTACTTTCGGGGCTCTGGTCTAGTCCTCCCCGAACGTGTACTTACTCGACTTTAATGATATTGGTAAGGGCGGCCTGGACCTTAAAATATATATATATATATATATATATATATATATATATATATATATATATATATATATATATATATATCTGTGTGTGTGTGTGTAACACATAGATCGCTTCTTATTTCCTTTTTCAATTCTTACCCTTTTTTATTTTATCCTTTAATTTTAAGAATGTAATAATATTGCATTAACTTCTTACTCCTTCTGTCCCAATTTAAATTGCCTGTTTACCTTTTTTCTTCATCCCAAAATAAGGTGCCTGTTAATTGTTATCGTAAACTTTTAAAAATAAAATACCTAAACTACCCCTAAAATAAGTCACCCTCTTTCACCTTATCTTCTAATTCATAGTCACCCATTCTAAAAAGTAATGACAATTTCGAAAAAATTAATTCTATTTTTTCTTTTCCTTAAATATGCCCAAAAGTCAAAACAGATAATTTAAAACGGGACGGAGGGAGTACCATTTTTGAAAATCCGTAGATCAAGAATAATGCACTACAATATATCAACCGTAGATCAAGATTTAGAACCTGTTCTTTAGTATTGGAAAAAAGAGCTGGATGTTGGAAGAAACTGAAAAAAACTAGAAAAAACTGGAAAACACTGGAAAAACCTGGAAGATACTGGAAGAACTGGAAGAAACAGAAAGAAACAGAAAGAAACTGGAAGAAACTGGAAAAAACTAGAAGGAACTGTAAAAACTTAAAAAAATTGGAAAACCTCAAAAACATAAAAAACATTTATTTAAAATTTATGTTGTTATAAATTAGTATTATTATTATATTATATTATAATAATTTTTATCATCATCATCATCATCATCATCATCATCATCACAATCATCATCATTATCACGTTGTCTTAACTCTTAAGGAATGGCTTTAAGGTACAAAAAAAAGTATTGTTATTTTTTACATACAAAAACTACTTTTGCAAAAAATAAGTATAATATAAAGTTAGCATAAATATAAAAATTTTAAATTTTAAAAAGTCATTGTGGTTATATTGCACCTCAAATTATTTATGCAGTATTTATTAAAAATAAAATATTTGTAATTATATTTTATATATTACAAGATTTTATTTTAAATATCAGAAATGTAACATAATGTAATCAAACCTATTTTTTCTTTCATGATTGACATTTTATTTTCATTGAACTCATATTTTTGGAATAAAGACATAGAACTTTTTTTAATACATTTTTTATGTTTTACTCCTATTTTAGTCTTTTTCTCTAAACTATTTTGACTTACAATTTTTTTTTATAAAAATTAGAAAAATGAGCAAATTTTAAGTAATAAAGAGAAAGGTGAGAGGTCTTATATAAAGTTAGATTAATAAAACATTCAATGTCACTATTTTATTCATAATTGTTTTAATATAATTTAACATATTGATGTTTTCCTGTTTTATCATGTAGACTAATATACAAAAAATTGTCTTATTCATATTAAATAGTTGAAGAAAAAAATAATGAGTGTGAATCGTAAAAATAGTGAGATGAAAAAAATAATTTATAAACTATAGTTGTGAATATAACAGTTGTAATAATAATAATAATAATAATAATAATAATAATAATAATAATAATAGTAATAATATAATACCGTTATAATAATAATAATAATAATAATAATAATAATAATAATAATAATAATCACATTAAAATATATCGTTTTTAGAGTAATTGGTTGAGAAGTAGAAAAAGTTTGAAGAAAATGAGAATAGTTGAAAGAAACCGGAAGGAATTGGAAGAAAGTGGAAGAAACTAGAAGTATTTGGAAGGAACTGGAAGAAACTGGAAGTTAAGAGTTCAAGCCCTAAAGAACATGCTCTTAATCAAAGATGGACGGGTCACAAACTTTTGCATTTGGGCGGGGAATTGGCCGGGCGCTACTTCCCCTGCTTTTAAGAATAGGATTGATACAAATACATTATATATCCAAATTTATAATACACCACCTCATACACGAACAAGAATGAATTCTTTTTTATCCAAAATTATAATTTTTTAACATATTAATTTGGGTGATCACTTAATTGATTGACTTTTTAACACTTTAATTCTTCCAACATTTTCTAATTCTTTCCAATTTTTTCCAACTTCTCCCAGTATCTTATACGGAATTACGGAGTAACTCCTAGTCTGTTCTAACATCTAATTCTAAAATTTCAAACCCAAAAGGGAACTTAAATATCACGCCGTTAGAACGTGCTAAGAATAATTTTTCACAAACGTATTTTTATTATGACATTTTTTTTTGACAATAACCATGCGTTTGAGGGCTTAAAGCAGTTTGACAAAATCACTATCACATTAAAAAACACAATCTCTTGAACAATCATTTCGACCATTTTATCTATATTTTGTTCATGACTCTAAACATATAGAGTACATACTTTTTATGTACAAGGAATATACATTTTTTTAAATTTAAAAAATATATATAACAAATAATAAAACCAGAAATTAAGATTAAAAAACTAAAAAGCTAGAAATTAAGATTAAAATGCCCTCCATTTATTTATTTTTTAGCCACTGAGAAAACAAGCTTAGAAAAAAGAAAAGTTAAAAAGACAAACAAAAAAACACAGACACTCAATGTTTGTACATGCACTACTCAAGTTGCAAATTGCTCTTGATTACCAAGACAAACAAAAGACACACATGTTTAGCAAAACTTACAATCATAGGGAGTAAAAAAGAAGTAACCTCAATGTCAGAGCATAACAAAAGCTACTCTACCCAATCATGTTGAGACTAGGTTGCTTCAAGCTGGTTGACAATCTCCGCCTGTGTTATAATAGGTTCAGATCATCATTAACAAAAATGTCTTGCACTCTTGTAGGGCGTCTCCTCAGGTTCCCTCTAAAGTAGTTCTTCGCTCTCTTGAACAGATCCGGGTTAGCGTTTGCAGCCCCCAACAGAGCACGGGCCTTAGACATGTCACTATTTCGCATCATGACATCGATAAACGCTTGCAGCACTGGAGCAATTCGTGTGGCAAACTCTTTAGCTACATTGAGCTCTGCCACTTCTGTAGGATTTGGACCGTCCACCCCATATGCAGCAAATAGTTGATGGTACTTTGCAGGATTCTCACGAATCTTTGCATCTACCGTATTGAGCACAGTGTCGTCATAACCAAAACGTAGTTTGAATTGTTCCCAAAAATTCCCTGCAATAAGAGCTTTGATGACTACTCTAGATGTAGTTATGATAGCCGTACCTGATGGCCCTGCATTTGCCCTGATCTTGAAAGGTATAGGGAGATGTGGTGAGTTGAGCTGAGCCCTCAGAACCTGGTATGGTCTCTTGACGCCTATCCACTTAAAAGCCCTGCCATAGAGATCATCAGCTGGCATATAATCATCCCGCACATCAAAGATCAGAGCTGATGCCCTAAAACGCGACACTCTATTAAGAAACTCTTCTTTGTGGGCTTTAATGTATCCGTGGCCATATACACGGAATGAATGTTCAAGAGCAAAAGGCACTATGGAGCATAATTGGAGTGCTTGCTTCATCAAGTTTGGATTATCCTTGAGATCCTTAGCAACATCTGTGAGATAACCATTAGGGAGAGGTTTGTACTTGGTCATGGGTTGATGATCAAACCATCCAACTATGAATTGCTCCATACGGAGCATAGCCCACCTCACAGCAGCAGCTGGAATCTTTGGATCATTCCATTGTTTCTTAGCCAAGTAAAAGACCCCAAGAACAACAGCTGTTGGCACCTTATAGACCTTGAGACCTCTCCCAACATCGTCAACAGCACAGATGGGTATTTCATAGTTTGCAGGCACAAGAAAGTAGTCAAGAGGATCAACACCTCCTCCTACTGCATTCTCTTCTCTTCTTATATCTTCAATGGAGGGTGGACTGAGAAGAAGCCTCTTCTCTTCATTTGAGAATGCCGGTGAAGAAACTGGCCTTTTTCTGCCTCCCATCATACTTTACCAATGAGACAGCCGGAAAAAAATGGATACAAATTGTTAGTCTATTAGCCTGCATCACATGGTTTACCTAGGATCAGAGGCAAACTGAACCACAGATTTCAGCTTATACTATCAGGGTCAATGTATAAAATAGTTAAAGTAACTGATAATTGCATTCTTACATTAAGGATTGACTGGTTTGTATAGTGAGGAACATTTGAATTAGTATTGGAACTTGGAATCACTTCAATTCAATTTCTCATTTCAGGGGCTTTTGGGAGCCACTTCAATAATCTTTGCATCCACATCACATAATCGATTAGGCCTGAGATTGGTGCTTGATTGACTTGAGTCAGGAGGCAGGAGAAGGGGCGCTGATGAAATCTATCCATCTATATGTATATACAACCACAGTTGATGGCCCCTTGCGTTTACGGAGTACTAAACGGAAGCTATCGGCGATCGAGAAGAATTGATTTATTCCGTTTGGGGTAATAATGTTTGAGGCATGCAGTTGGAAAACACGGCCTTGGGATCGGAATGAATGCACAGAGTCCCAAATGAGAATCGACTTTCATATGGTTGATGATTAAATTAAGTTTAGGGGTGGGCACGGGTCGGGACGGTTCGGGTTTCTTACAATCCCGCGTCCTGTCCCGTTATATTCAAACGGTTCGGAACGGTTCGAACCACAAGCCTATCCCACTTTGTCCCATAATTTTCGGGACTGGGACAAAACGGAACGGATTCGGATTGTCCTACTTTTTCCTAATTTTAGGACAATAATAAAAATTGAAAACAAAAAGATTGAAAATAAATGCAACAACAATGTCAAGAAGTATTAATTGTTAAGTACTTAAAATGTTTCACGAGATACGTACGGAGTAATATATGTGTGTTTATATATATATATATATACACACACACACACACACATATATATACACACACATATATATACATACATATATATATATATATTGTTTTTAGAAGAGTATATAAAACGGGACAAACGGGATGGAACGGTACACTTGTATGTTATCCCGGTAATGTCCCACTTAAAATCGGGACAGAACGGGTTCGGGACAAAAAAATTTGAATCCAAAGAAAAAGGTACAATTTCAAAACGGTTCCGGCACGTTTCGGAACGGGTCAACGGGAACGGTTTTCGTGCCCGCCCCTAATTACGTTGGTGGAAGAAGCCCAAGAGGCGCCGGCATCATCCTTGAATTGGGAGGAGACGCTACGCTACAGTAGGTGCGATATTTTGGAAGACGAGTACTCCGTATTGGAAAAACCTATACCAAGTGTTTTGCACGATTGTTATTGTTTTGTGATGTACACACACTTCGTCCACAAATAAACTTGCGCTATGATGTTTGACTGAATTTATTTTCAAATCATTTTATATGAAAAAATGGTATAAAATTTAAAAATAAAAATTACATATTAAAAAATTATATCAAAAGATCTACAAAACTAGAGGTGACATGAGTATATTATTTTATCAAATGGGTGGCAAAAATAGGACAACAAAGTGAATAAAGTTTGACCATGTGAATAGAAAACAGAAAGTTTATTTGTGGACGGAGGGAATATATATTCATAGAGCATTCTTGTTTGCATGTTTGTGAAATATTTTATAAGGGAGTTTACGTAAATAACACTAACACATAATGACTTTCCCTATATAGCATCACATGTATTTTTTTCCCAATGTAGCACTTTTAGTCATTATTCAAGTAAATTTTCTCCATAACTGGACATTATGGACATTATTAAGTGTTATTTAGAAAATAAAACAATTTAAATAACTTAAGTTTTAGTGCTATTTAGTGCAAATATTTCTATTTTATATTGGGTGCGGTTCAATAACATTGCTAAGCAATATGATGAGATGACTTAGGGCTCTACGGTGCTTCGTTTATAAACTTGATTGTTTTTATCCCCTAATATTAGCCACTTTTCAAGTGACAATAAATTAACCTATTTTCCAATCACTACACACTTACAAAAATGGTAGCAAAGTGGTAAGTAGGGTCATTCTTCCACAGGGAGATTTGTCTTCTATTATATCTTTTCTTTACAAATTGTTGAGCTCCACAACACACACACTCAAAGGGGGTGGGGGTTTTGTTCAGATGATCCTAAAACTAGGTGTTGAATTTAAATCTTAATCAGAGGAAATAAGATCAGATAAAAGAGTGAGAGAAGAGATCAGGCAGAGATCTTTGGATATCAACTGTTGATGAACAAGCTTGTTTGGTGGAATTTAGGACAGTCACTTAGAACATTAACAAAAAATCAAATTTCTTTGTTAAAACATGCTATTGCACAAATGTGGATTTTAGTCCTCTCAGCAAGAAACTAAATCCATACATCCTGAAATGATCCCTAAGAGTGATGAGCCTGATAGAAAATGATATATAGATATGCATTCAGTTTTTGATGATCATTTAAACACGCAATGAAATTGGACAACCAATTAACACTTTATGCTAGTTGTTAAACCACAAATGATAACTTTAGACTCAGTAGTTGAGGCATGAGACCTACAACTTACAGAATCGAAGAAGAAGAATACCTAAAAGAGTTTAACAACCTTCGCCATATGTCTAAACCTTGAATCACACTTTAGTTCTCACAGTTCGTAAGGAACGAATCCCAAATTCCACCAAACAAGTAAGGAATCACTCATGAGACATGTTTGTGGTATTCAATTCACAAAATAAACACATGATCACATGAAAATATAGTCCTAACAACAGATTAAGATTTGGATTACATTCGCACGAAATCAACCATTCAACCGTGTATCAACAAATTTGTATACTTAACAAACATAAGAATTCAGCTCAAGAATTTGAGATTATTATCACAACATAAAGAGTCAATCGTACGACAAGGTGAATCGAAAACTCTAAAAAGAAGCATGTTTTTGATATTTTGAAAGCTTGGTGGGTCTTATTATGGAATCCACTTTCATGACAAAAGGTGCTCAAGTCTGAAACGCATGTGGGGATTTCGGAATTGAATACGGCCCAAGTTAAGGGGTTTGCCCTTCCAATTGGACTCTTCTCCATACACACTTCACTTCCTTTCGGGATCTGTTGCTTAAAGGGACAGAGGTGTCGGGCCACCGATGCCAAGTCCAAAAGGTATTTCCCACACATATTCAAGCTTAAGAGTCTAAAGAGACAGCAAAAAACAATTTGGGTCAGAACTAATTAAGGACTCCACCCTAAAGGTTTATTTTAAGGGCATTCTCAATCACTAAAGACAACCAACCACCCTAAAGTCCGAGTCAAAATAGCCAGACTAAAAATGGTTATTTCCAGAAAAATTTCAGCACAATTTCAGCACAGTTCAAGTTGGGTGTTTGAGAATTGTACATTGCTCAAATGGACATTTTAAAGCAAGAGAAAGAAGCAATATACATGCCAATAGTTATTAGAAAAGTTGCCCTTCCTATACTTGGTCCTCCACAACTTGACTGAGAATTGGAGACCATAAGTGACAACTTAGTTCAATCCCAAAATCAAAGTGACACTACTCAACATAGAACTGATGGTTAAAGGGAGCACGCATCCTAATGTATCTAAAGGAAGGGGGGNCCCCCCCCCCCCCCACACTTAAGTTTTTGCACTATCCTCAGTGCAAATGGTCTGGTCAGGGCAGCCAGCTACACAATCACCAATGCACGCCTCCTAAACTAGTACATCACACCTCCCTTACTCTCCTTAAACTGCAGGAGGTAGAGGATAGAAGTTCACCACTGGTTCCAACAAGGGAACCAGCTGCCCAGTTCAAGTGTTGTGTTTGCAAAGTTTATTAAAGTCCAGAATTACAAAACTTAAACAAAAAAACATAGGGTTGCCTCCAAGGTAGATGCCCAGTTTAAAGTTCTTGGCTAGACTCTTTCTCAGCTTTTTCCTTTTTTGTTTCATCGGATAGCCTCCAACTTCAAGCTGTCCACCACTTCCTTCTCTTGTCCCTCATGAAACTGCTTTAACATGTGCCTATTTACTTTGAAACAATTTTTACAAGCACTACTTTAAGTTTCAATTGCACCATAATCATACACATGGAAAACTATAAAAGGACCTAGCCACTTAGACTTGAGCTTGCCTGGGAACATCTTCTGTCTTGAATTAAACAAAAGTACTTTGTCACCAGTGTGAAACTCTTTCTTTCTAAAATTAGAGTCATGCCACAAATTTGTTTTTCCTTTGTATATGACAGAATTGTCATAAGCTTCAAGTCTAATTTGCTCCAATTTAACTAGCTGCAACAGCCTTTCCTGTCCACTAAGATCAGACTCAAGATTCACTTCTTTGATGGCCCAAAAGGATTCATGTTGAGTTCAATAGGCAGATGACAAGCCTTACCAAAAACTACCCTATTAGGAGACTTACCTAAAGGTTTCTTAAAGGCCATCCTAATTGCCCACAAAGAATCTTCAATTCTTTAACTCCAATCTTTCCTATCTGGTCTGACTAGCTACCTTTTCAAGGACTCTCTTGATTTTTCTATTTGAAATTTCTGTGTGACCATTACACTGAGGGTGGTAGCCAGTATAAATCCTTTGTGTAATATGGTACTTCGCACAAATAGTTGACATATTCCTATTACAAAAATGAGTTCCTCTTTCACTAATCAATGCTTTAGGTATGCCATACCTATTCAAAATCAGTTCCCTCAACTTTTTAACCACAGTTTGAGAACTATCATCCCCAGTGGCCACTGCCTCTATCCACTTAGACTGGTAGTCAATAAAAACCAAAATGTACTGAAAATCATTTGAAGGAGGAAATGGTCCCATGAAGTCTATGCGCCGCCGCATCTCTACCTCCTTCGCTCGCCTGCCACATCATCGTCATCCTCCTCCTAGCTGGTTCAGCGTCATCCTCGCAGGTCGCCGGCCTCGTCCTCCGTCCTCTAGTCGCCGACGTCCTCCTCCATCCTCCTCCTCCAGCAAAGTTTTTTAAAATTTTTATTCCACTTTTCTTTATGAAATTGATATTTTTGTAAAATTGATAAAATTTTACGTGAAATTGGTTTGAAATTATATAAGTTTACTTTAATATTTGTTGAAATTGGCATGAAATTAGGTAAAAATGGTTATGTTTTTGTGAAACTAAGAGCATTTTAGGTGAAATAGAGTTGAAATTTTGTGAAATTACTATGATATTGATTGAAATTGACATGATTATTTTTGGTGGTTAAATGATTATTGTTTGTTGTTACACATTGTTATTTGTTAGACTTTATTCTTGATATTGTTTTTTTGTTAAATAATGTGGTTTATATTCATGATTAAAGATTGCTGTTTATTGTCTTAATTAAAGTTTCACCCAACATTTTTTATACTTTAAAAAATCAAACACTTTTTATTTTTATAAAATTTATTTCACCCAACTTTTTTTAATGAAATTTATTTATACTGAAACCAAACTATGAAATTTATTTTTAACACTTTTTTATACTTTATGAAATCAAACTATGAAATTTATGTAATAAGATTTCTATGTTGTCTGCAGTTGCTAGTTTGTTAAACATAAAGCCTGGCCCTAACTTATCTAAGCGATGTCATGACACCTTCTGTCAATTCCTACAAGACGCTCTACCTGACGACAACACAATTGTGGATGGGTTTTATCAAACAAAAAAATTAATTAGAAAACTTGGTCTCCCCCTCTAGAAGATTCATTGTTGCATTCTTGGGTGCACGTTATATATATTGGGGAGATGATGAAAGTCTCACATAGTGCAAGGTTTGCAACAAGCCGCGTTATAAAGACGAGAACTCTAAGATTCCAAATGGACAGATGTTTTACTCTCCGCCAACACCTAGGTTGAAATGCCTATACATGTCTAAACGTACAACAAGTGCAATGAGGTGGCATGCCGATCATCGACACACAAGCAGGGATGAAATGTGACACCCTTGTGATTCTGAAGCGTGGAAAAGGTTTGATGCTGAACATTCTACATTTGCATCAGAGGTGCACAACATGCGCCTTGGACTATGCACAGAGGGGTTCCAACCATTTGGACAGTCTAGGTCACAATATTCATGTTGGCCCGTTATGATTACCTCGTACAATCTTCCACCTGGTATGTGCATGAAAGAAGAACACATATTCTTGTCCCTAATTGTGCCTGGGAGGTCTAACCCAAAACAGAAGGTTGACGTGTACTTGCATCCACTCATCGCAGAGTTGAAGAGTCTTTGGAGCGAAGGCGTGGAGACCTACGATGTTTTATCTTTAGGCTTGAGGTAGATAGTAGTCTTTAGAGCCAAGGCATGGAGATCCTCAAAGAGCAGAACAAATGCCTCCAAGAACAAGTTGAAGCCCTAGCCTCTAAATTCACAATAATCCAAGAAGATCTAAAGAGGTTATACGATAATAACAACCCTCCTCGAGATGATGACGGAGCAGGGCAACCGGAGGCTATTTGTTAAAGTATTTGAATTAGAACCTTTGACTTTAATGGTTTTTATGCATACATTACATTAACTTAACTATTTTTAGTTTTTCTACACTAGAATGTGAAATTTGTTTGACATTTATATTTAAAACTTGTTTGTGGTTTTATTGAGGATGTGTTTTCAGTTATCTCCCCACCCCGTGAATGGTATTCTTTGTTTTGAAAAGAGGTAGATAAACAGAAAAACCAGGTCCTTGTTTTCTGTTTTTTGGGAAGCTGCATAACAGCAGGTTTGGGTTTGTAATGCTTCTCTCTGGGACGGATCTGCGACGGGCATAGCAGTCCGTCGCAGATATGTAATATCAAGCCCATAATAGAATTCATCACAATTCCGTCGCAGATATGCAACGGATGGAGTTGTCCGTCACATAAAAAGGCCAGAATTTGCACGTCCCATAACTGTTGCATGCCCGTATTAGATCCGCGACGGGTTTACATTTCCGTCGCAGGTTATGGCCGGGCGACGTCAAATTTGCGACAACTCATTTTTGTCGCAAGTTTGTCGCAAATAATGAATCTACTACGGTTTTCTCAAATCTGTGACGGAAATTTGCGGTCGTAGATTCCGCATAATGTTGTAGTGAATATATAGTTGGCAGGAGTTTCTTAAATCTTTATTCCCTGTAATTTTGTTCATATACTAATTTCTCTATGAGTTCTCTTGGCTCGTCGATAAAGTTTTTTGAAATAAACTTTTGATGTTGGCTCTCTTTATTCATGCCATATTTTATCTGTATAAATTTTGCTCAAATTGTAAATTAAATAAATTTAAATGACATGAGATTTTTTAATTTGTTTAGAAATGGCAATTAATTATTTTATGTTGGAGGGAGCAAGTAATATAACGAGTTCAAATGGTAATATAAAAGTTAAATTTTAAAAATACAATATGTTTATTGAAAGGCAGAAAAAGTTCCGGATTTTTTTGGTTTGGGTCTAATCAGTTTCAAATCTTATTGGTTTTTTATCTTATGGATTTCGGGTCTTATCAACTTTGAGTATCATTGGTTTCGTGGTTAATAAATTCGGATTTGATCAATTTCAAATTTAAATTGGGTATGATTAATTTAGTTAAGTTTCGGTTCAGAACAGATCATTTCGGGTTTTAGATTACACATAGAATCTTCACTTTTCGGATCATTTTGGTTTGTTTTTGGCTCGATTCTATTTTCCCGGGTCTACAAAACCTATCAAACCCCGTGAAGCTTCACTATAATGCATAGCCTAAGCTAGTAAATGTTTTCCACTAGGGACTAAATCAATCCAGCTAGATTGAGTTTGGTTTTATCCTAAACTTTTGAAAAAGGCTCGAAAGAAGGAGAACAATGTGATTAGTCAAACAAAAGAAAGAGTCACGCTTCATGGACAAAGAATAAAATAAACTAAAATTCCAAGAAAAAGTTCATTTTTGTACCTAAGTGTTGATGGGCAATTTCACCTACTTCTCATTATTGATCGAGCGTCCCTATCAAGAGCCTAGCTATCTTGATATTTCTAATTTCAACCATGAACTATTAAGATTTACCATTGTTACTATAGTTGATGCAAGTTAAATGCATTAAATTGTAGTCTCCCCCCTCAACCAATTTCTCCTATTAGCCTGCCCTCTTATTATGCCTATCTATATAACGCACTCCAAATTTGATTCTTGAGAGGCCAGCTCAAAATATATATCTCCCAAGACTCATTATATTCTAGAAATATTAATTTCTTCTCCAAAAAATTTAGGCAATTAAAGATGGTGATGCAAAAGAGTTTGCCTATGAATGCAAGAACTATTGGGAGTGGGGAACAGACAGTGATTTTAGCACATGGGTATGGGGGAGACCAGTCTGTGTGGGATAAAGTGGTGCCGAAATTGGGTGAGAGTTACAAAGTTGTCCTCTTTGATTGGTGTTTTTCTGGGGCCATAAAGGATGGGAATCTGCAGCAGTTTGATGCTATCAAGTACTCTTCCTACGAAGCCTTTGCTGATGATTTGGTTAAGCTTCTAGAAGAGCTCAACTCCAAATCTTGTGTCTTTGTTGGCCACTCCATGTCCGGCATCATTGGTTGCATTGCTTCCGTTAAAAGGCCCGACCTTTTTAACAAGCTCATCCTTGTTGCCTCTTCTCCAAGGTATTTCAATTCACCTCGATTATCTAATTCTGTACATTTATTGTGATTACTCCCTCCGTTCCAAAATAACGTTCACTCTTTGGCTATTTTGGTCAAATTCTTCTACACTTTGACTCTTTGACCATAAATTAAATATTTTTTAAATGAATAAATCTTATTACAAAAAACTGATATACCAAAGTTACATTTTAAAAGGAACCTAGTTTTACTAAATTTACATTATAATTATGACAATCTTTTTGGGACTGAGGTAGTACTCACTCCGTCTGAAAAAGAATGTCACGGTTACTATTTGAATCCCTCAATAACTTTTGTTTGTTTACTTGTTTTGGCTGAATATTTGATAAATTAGAATATTTTTATCGCATCTTGTTTTGTAGAACTTTTGATGTACTTTTGAAGGCTATAATTTTTTTTATTTCCCAACATGACTGTAAATAAAATAATTTTAGAAGAAATGAAATGTTATACGTTATTCGAAGTGTTATAAATAATTTGGTACTGAGGGAGTATATTATTTTGAAAAGGAGGATTTTATTTATGAATAGAAAATCGGAGATGATTTTGAGAGAAAAAAATGAAAAAGAAAATGAGGTGTTTATTTGGGACTATGTTTTTCTCTTCTTTTTTTTGAGTGCGTTTTTCCTTTTATTTAGTAATCCGTAAAATACTTCTTCAAATCCATCTCGTAAATTTTCTGTCTAGCCTTAATTTTATGGATTTTATGAAAAATGTTTAAACCAATTATTTGGTTTGTTTAGTGATTGAGTTCCTTTTCCTTGTTCTTTTTGTCTAGCCTTAATTTTATGGATTTTCATAATATATTTCACCTTTTCAGTCTTTGAATATTATATTCTCTCTGCCTCATTTATGAGATAGAACAATTTATGAGATTTTATTTATGTTACTTTCAAATTATTTCAGTTTATAATAATTGGTGAAAAATTTAAAAATAAACTCAGATTTATATACCTAAAAATTATGGAGTACACATATCAAAAGATCAACGAAATGAAAAATGACAATTTTCACATACAAAAGATAAATGAAATATGTAAAGAAAAGGAAAAGGAATATTGTTGGACAACATGAATATTAAGTGTAAAGATTAAAATGAGATGGGACATCAATTTAAATTTATTTTAACAACACATTTAACGAGAGGTCGTCACAAGTGGGAGGCTTTCAATCTGTGTTTTGAATAAGTCCCCAAAGCAAAAAAAAAATCATTTTATTTATACGCAATAAATTCTGTAACAACTAACAACCATATACTCTCTCGGTCCCTTCCTCTCCTAATTTCTTTCTTGTTTGTTTTTCTAAGTAAACAATTTTTAACTTTGATGACCATATATAAAATATAGAAAAAATATGTGGAGTTATGATACAAATGTAGAGTTAATATATTCATTTTGAAATATAGTGTTTTCAAATATTATTTTTTATAATAAATAATTTATAGTATAAATAAAGAAATTAATAATCAATGTAGTATATTGAAGACCGAGATTAAGTGAAGAGAAAAAATTTTGAGACGGAGTAATATCATATTTTTAAAGTCCTTTAAAAAAGACTAGTTTCATCCTACGACCCTCACCACTGGTGTAGAAAGTAGACTAAAAGAATATAAACTGACTTTTAATTTATATATTTATTTACACTCTTATTGACGGGTTAAACAAGATCTACCCTGCTCGATCGGCCCCTTAAAAATAAATGGCTAAATAAGGAGATGGTGTCAAAAACGAAAAAGACCACTCGTCTGTGGTGATAGATCAAAGAGGGATGCAGTACCCACGTACAAGACGACAAGCTATCGCCTTTTTGGTTTGGAATAGATGTATTTAATGAGCTGTCTTTTTGTTTTGACTTCCTTTTCATCTTAAAGACTATGGGATTATTGACCACGTTTTACGTACGCTTCAACAGAGTTATTTATTACTCCCTTAGGGTAGGAGATGTTATTTATTACTAGAATTATGTGCCGGTCTGATTTTTTGGTTAAAATTTTGTAATTTCTAGTACTCTCTTTGCTCGGGAATATTTTTTCGCTGTTGACTTGACACGCTTATTAAGAATTAATAAAAAATGCAAAATTTTAAAAATGCACATACAATTTTTAAATCTCATTTTCTTATTAAAAAAGCAATAAAAAAAATTATATTAATGATAAAATAAAAGGATATTATTGAAATTTATCTTTAAAAAGTATATTAAAAATGGAAATGAAAAGAATATTTTCGAACGAGTCAAAAAAAATGGGAAGAACATTTTCGGACGGAGGAAGTATAGAATATGAAAAAATTGTATTTAGTTATCATATAAATTTATTATCAATAAGAAATTCAATATATAATTTTTTCAGTTGAACTAAGTAATTAATTGAATTTAATGTTTTAATGTGAATCAACCCAAGTGTCTTATGGTCTAATCCAATGATCCCTACCATATCCTAAAAATTCTATCATGGCATAAGATCACTTTTAGCTTACCTCGTTTGTTAAGATGTTTGTAAGACATTTATTCCTAGCGACACTAGTTTTTAGCTAGTTGTCCGTGTGGAATGTATATCCATTCGCTTGTGGCATGTTTAACCAGATTGCTTGTCTAGAAGTCCTTACCCAACGACTTGGGGTCCTTTAGGTGTTGGGGCTAAAAAAATTCAAGGGATGAGAATCCGTTTATAAGTGGTCAACTGGTTAGATTCAAAATGGTCCAATTTTCTATTTGAGGGGGAATGTAAAAGTAATCCACATTGGACCTTGAAGATAAAACAAATCGGTTTATAAGCTCTTCAGTTAAACTAAATAGTTAATTGGATTCATAATATGCTTCAACTCAAGTGTCTCATGGCTCAAGTCAATTATCTCTACCCCATCCTAAAAATTCTATCACGGAGGAGAACTTCTTTTTTGAGTTTACTCTTACTTCATAATAACGTATGATATGATGTCTATGATAGATGAGTCATAATTAGAAAAATAACATCAAAATTACATATTTTTAAGGCGTGCCTTTTTTTCAAATTGATTTTTTTGGGACGGAGAGAGTATTATTATTATTCTAAAATTTATTATTATTATAAGTAATATTTATTATTATTATTATTATTATTATTATTATTATTATTATCAATTTTAATTGTTTTGTTTTAATCGTGGGAAAACATGAAGAATAGTGGAAGTTGGAACACGTCCTTTTGTGTATTGCCAATCTTTAATTACTTATTGTTTGGCAGGTTCATAAATGGGGAAGACTACGAAGGGGGTTTTGAGAAATCAGACGTTGAACATATGTTCAAAAACATTGAAGCAGACTTCGAGGAATGGAGTTCCAAATTTGCATCCCTGGCCGTGGACCCAATGGACCCGCACTCGGTCCAAAAATTCACCAAATGCTTGCAGAGAATGGGGGTGGAGATCGGATATCCGTTGGCGAAAACCGTGTTCTTGAGCGACCATAGGAGCGTGCTTGAAAAGGTTACCACTCCTTGTACCTTAGTAACATGCGCGCGTGATTTTGTGGTTCCGGTATCGGTACCCCTCTTCATGATGAATAAGATCAAGGGAGATTCCACGCTAGAGATTCTCAATGCCGAAGGCCATTTCCCTCAGCTCACAGCCCATGAAGATTTCCTTGCAGTTGTTCTAAAGGCCTTGCATGTGTTCACCTGAAAGTAAAGCAAAAGGAAAGGAATAAAGCTACTTTTACACCAAGCAATGTACCGCTATTTGTACACCACAGGGGTGCACCGTCATTTTGATTTTTTAGACTACACATATATAATGGTGGTACAAAAACATTTTGTGCTAGTGTGAACTTCCAAAATGGCGGTGCACATGTTTGGTGTAGAAAATGGGGTGCACTCCTTGGCTTAGAAGTAGCATAGTTGGAAGGAAATAGCATTAGTTGTCCTTTCTGGCTGTCAATTGGTACATGTTTTAAAATTGCAGGTAAAAAATTTAAAGCAAAAGAAAATAGCATTAGTTGTGTTTTCTTGCTGTCAATGGGTACACGTTTTAAAAATGCCAGTAGAATATTTTACTTATGTAAACATTTGGTGTGAATGTGTGAATTCAAATATGCATAGAGCATGGTCTTGTAAAATTATTTGTGGTTTGTAGTCTCACCATTTACTTTGTCTGCCAAATATGGAAAACACCCTAACAGTATGTCCCGAAATGTTCTGATGTTGAGTTGATCCGTTTTTTTTCAAGAATAAAATCGTGGGGTGCGGTGAGCCCGGATGGCCATCTATCGCCACATCGACCTCCATTACGGCGTAAAACGGTGAACCCCTCTATGGTGACGATGATGGAGGTGATGTCCATCACGATCATCACGCACTGACCCTAGCTCCTCCCAACTAATTGTTTCAAAGCTAAACTCCACTATTGGTCCTTCAAGTTTATGAGTTTGCACGATTGGTCCTTCAAATTGCAAAAGTCCATAAATATTCCTTGCACTTTATGAGTTGTGCACGATTGGTCCTTCAAGTTTAAAAAATCCATTAGTTCTTCAAATACACGCCAGCCCTCCACATGAAGTTTTTTTGACGGTAAACGTTAAAAGCTAAATAGAGTACTAACTCCATATAATACAAAGTAGTCGTACCTAGTGGAATTTACTCATATTATATAGAACTGGTATTCCATTTAAATTTTAATGCTTATTGTCAAAAGCACCTCATCTGGAGGGTTAACGTGTACTTGAAAGACTACTTATAGAATTTTGAAACTTGAAAAACCAATCATGCAACACTCATAAAGATGAAAGACTACTCATGGACTTTTGAAACTTGAAAGACCAATCGTGCACAACTCATAAAGTTGAAGGATCAGTGGTACTATGGTAGATTTTAGCCTTGTTTCCACAGCTAGTTTTTTAAAATATTACTCCCTATGTCTAAAAAACATCTTCTCATTTCTTTTTTTCTTGTCCCACAAAGTCTTTCTTATTTCTCTTAAAAACCCACTGTTACCATACTAACTCTTACCCTACCTAACACATCATAGCTTTTTACTACGTTCTCCGTCCCACAAAACCTGTCTCTCTCTTTTTATCCGTCCCAAAAAACCTTTCTAATTTATATTAAAAAGTCACTCTTACTCCTACTAATTCTTATCCGACATATTACATCATATTTTTTCACTATTAATCTACAAGTCACATCTACTTTTACCCATCACATCCAATGGCATTTTTGAAAAGTCAACACCAAAATACACTCCTTTTAAGTATTTTAAAAGTCAAAGACAAAAAAGTTTTGTGGGACGGAGGGAGTAATAATCTACCTATCACATCATATTTTTAACCATCATATCAAGGGTAATTTTGGAAAGTTAACACAAAAATATCCTTCCCTTTAAATTCCCTATATTCAAAATGGGAACTTCTTTATGGGATATGTAAGTTCGTGGGGGTGCAGCGGAAATCACCAATTGAAAGATATGCAAACAGATCAAACAAATATGTTGTAGAGAGGATACTACAACACTGTCACAGTAACAGATGACAGAGTGCTACAACACCTTCTCTGTCACAAGCACACACGTAGAATATAAATTAAAAACAGTAAGCAAGACACTAGTATTGTTCACGCAGTTCGGAGCAAATTCTCCTACATCTGCTGGGCCCACGTCCGTGTAACAACCCTTCCACTAAATCACCGTAAGAATTATACAATCAATCACAAGAGAACCTTCTAATGTATTGACTTGAAAACTTACGAATGATTTGACGACAAACTCCGTTTGCGTCTATCTCCACGGCTTGTTACATCTTCTCAAAGATCTTCTTCAAGGACGTCGATTCCAGTACACCTTCAAACAATGATTCTCCTTGATCTACAAAAAAACACAGGCTAATCCAAAGCTCATAAATCGAGATTGAACCGTTGAAATTCGATCCCCATCGTTCAGATTGAACCTCCACGGGGCCTTAGACTCTTCCTAAAATTTCAGCACGATCGGACAAAATTTGGTACTCCAACCATCAAGAAAACCAGAGCTGCGTTTTCTGCAAAAAAAAAACAGCGACAATATGCATATTGAACTTCGATAACAGAAGATCTGTAACTTTGATTAACGTGAAATTTGAACAAGTTGAAGCCCTTTGTGTTGTGAACACTCTCTGAAAATTGCAGCACAATCCAACGGTCGGATCTCCGGCGATGATCAAATTCGTGCAGGTTGTCCAGAAAATTCGCACTCTCAAAATCTGCACCTTGTTTTTCTTTTGGATGAAATTTGCTTCAGGTTTTTCGTATATTTTTTACCACCAAACCCTGAGGGAGGGAGAGGATGATATATGGAGAATATTAACCTTGTTAAAGTGTGCTTAGGAATCTCAACCATGCCTTCCACCTCAAGAATAGTAAAGCATGTAGGATTAGAATTCAAGTAGGATTTGAATTCTCGCTTCAAACTCTTTCCTCTTTCTCTTCCTTCACATGCTAGGACTCTAAGTCTAAATAAAACCCCCTAACTTGGTTGGTTCCCTTGACACTGAGAATCAATGTCATGGGATGACCCGAAGGTGTTCGGCTTCCCCGCTCATAAAATTGACGGTTCCTACCCCCGATAAACCCTCTCACTCGCCCCGACCCGAACACACACCCCCCACCCCCTTCAATTGCACCCCCAAGTTAAATTTGACTTTGAAGGGGATGGGGTTTACCAGGGGGTTAGGGGGTAGGAACCGCCAAATTTACGAACGGATCACTGGAGCACCTCCGAGTCATCCATGACATTGATTTCCAATGTCATGTGAACCGGCCACTTATATGTAATCTAATAACTTAGGTGATAGAGTTTGAGCCTAGAGCTCCTAAGCCCGCCACAGAAATACTCCTATAGATATAAAATGCTGGGTTATTTTACCGCCAGTCCTTTGAAACCATAAATAAATACTTTTCATTAAATGATAAGAAAATAGGTTATGGTGCTGACCACATGAAGCTTGGTAAAATTTTTTATTCAATAAATAAGTTATTACTTCAAAGTTGGGAGCTTAAAATTTTGAGAAATGGTTGAATAATCCAAGTATAAATTCCTCTAATTTTTAAACTTATACTCATACTGACTACCAGAACAAAATTATTTTTAACACAATATATTAAAAATCAATTTAAATGAAGGAAAATGACTACTGAAAAACACAACAGCATGATTGCTAAACCCTAATAATATGTGAGTATGCTGGATTTACAGCATGGAAAAGCTTAATGAAATTCAGGAAAATGCCAGAAAAATGATATTCAAACATTTCACAAACACCTGCAAGCAGATGTGCTAATTTAGTGCACCAACCCACTGTGTACATGGCCTATAAATAGGTGGCGTGGCTAAATATTAGAATTGAGGAAGGGAAAATGGAGGATTCAAAATTTCTAATTAAATACTAAAATTACATTCGTATTACCTTCTTAAAACTGAGACAGTTAGAGAATTGCAAGTTACATGCCGTGAAATCTGCAATCTCAACTTCACAGTATGCCAATCTCGGACGAGGAGCTGCGGCAAGGAGGAAGACATCCGATATAATAACCACATCCATTGCAGATCGCTACAATATTGAACAGAAGAATAATTTATGACTTCACAAATTTTGGAGAATCACCTGAATCCATCCCGACGGAGAGAGGGTGAAATCTCTCCAATTCCAATACACACATGAAACTGTGTATACGTTATTATAAAAAAGAAAGTAAAATAAAGGCTTTAAATGAGTACGCATTTAAGGGGGTATTAATTCATAAGGAGGAGAATCAATTCTGGCGCAAGATTGGATGGCGAGCAACGATGTAATGCCAAGAATGGAAATATTTAACGGTGTATCAGCTCCAATGCACAAAGTACAACTTTCATGGATGGAAAAGGTTTTTTTATTATTTACTTTAAACCTTCAATTCGCCATTCTTAGGTTTTTTTATTATTTACTTTAAATCCTAAATTATGCTATTTAGTATATTTTTGAATAAGTTCAATATTTGATGCTATATCATAATTTATTATAATGTTTTCTTCTTTGAAACTATTTTAATGTATTTTCTCATATTAATAGAATATGTGATGGTATATTGTTTATTTATCATTTTACTTGTTTGATGCTAATCGGAACATACATTGTATATTACTTTTTTGATAGATGCTACATGATTTGAGATGCTTATATGTAGAAATAACATATATCAATGACGAAGAGACCTGAAAGATATTAAAAAGCAGAGTAGATTAGTCCTTTTCCTTGTGTGAAATTTTAGAAATTTCCTAAAATGATAAATAATTTGGGACAAGAAGGATTAAAAGGGTGGAATCTTTGCCAAATTATAAAATGAGTGCATGTGTGTGGCTTTATATCTTTTACAAGAATATAATGATATATGGTACATGAATCTCACCTCCCGCAGCTGCTGCACAGACTCATAAATGCCTTCTTCAGTACACATATGACTATTGCATAGTAATCTGCAGTTACTTGGCCATTTCGTTTGCAAAATACTGGACTTACTGCGGGCCCCTACATTGATTTATATGAACAGGGCATGCCTAAGTTAGTCAGGAATTGAGTAGCGAATAGTTTATGGAGTGTGATTACTATCCCTCTGTCAAAGGGTAGTAAGATAATTTTCTGCTCTATTAAACTCTTCAGTAACACTCTTAGTCTGTACCTGCAACCCTGATAAGGAATTTCGGCTCAATACGCGCTCAGCTACTTCCTCTGCAGAGTTTCCCCTCATGTTGGCAGTTACCCGCCATTCAATTTATCACGAACCAACTGTTTTTGAAACAAGTGAAATGTTGGGCGGGGATTTTACACACTGTGATTTGACCCAAAGCACACAAATGAGCCTCTAGCCTTTGAAGCATTTCATGTGTTATATCTAGCACATCCTTACGTGTCAAAGATTTCCTGCTAGCAACAAGGACCGCCTGTGCAGAAATATTAATCATAATATTTTATGTCCATCAGGTGTTGTACTAATATGTCATAATGAGGGTATGTGACTATGCAAACTTTGGAACTCTACATCCCTTGAAAATGTGCCTGCCCGTAAATATGAGCCGAAAACATGTTTTAAAATGATACTATTAATATTTTATAACATAATACAGTGCAATGTCCCTTTGACTGCATTCTTTCCTCAAACAAAATGACAATTAATATTTTATAACGATTGTTCCAGTGTTTTATAAGGGGGGCAATAATCTTTGAAAAGTAATGAGGTCAAAGGGCCATTGCACTATATAATGTATTATGTATACTTGAAGGGTTTTGCAAATGATAGTCAGGAACATTTGTTACCCAAACGTGATGGCCTATGAATATCTATTTCTGGCATTCACACACATGAAATATTATCAATAGTGTATACATATTGTTCAAAACCTTTTCTCTTCCCCAGTAAATTTAGTCTCAATCAATAACTTTTTGTATAATAAACACTCCACATTGACAATAGCAGAACTGCAGAACGCGAAAACCCATTAGCATTAGAGGCTGAAAAATTACCTGACTTTGCAAGATGACTCCACCCGCAATCTCTTTTAGATTGTTCTCTCTCGAAGTTGTTCCACTGCCCACAAGGTCTACAATTGCATCGGCTATCCCCATCTATATTAGGAAGAAGTGAGGAAATGATAACAGCAACAACAACCTACCCAGTGTTGTCCCATACATTAGGGAACCATGATAGATCTTAAAAAAACTTTTACATACTCAAAAGAAATTGAAAGTGTGATTGTATTTGAAGATCACCAAAAGAAATGCTGGAAAAGAACAAATGTGATAAAACTTCTAAGAGCAAACCATAGCATTTAAAATAGAAGGACATATTTCTTTGATGCAACAAATATAGGAAAAACAAACATGACTCTCTGGTGAATCATAGCATCAAGAGCAGTAATCGATTTGTGAAAAAGAGAAGAAGTATTTCATTTATATACGTAGTACAATACAAACAGTCAATCTTAATAAGACGGGACTTAAGAAAACTAACAGTCAATCTCAATAAGACGGGACTTAAGAAAACTAAATCTGTTTAAAATAGGTAAATTTGGTCTTACTGCTGGAGCAGCCTTCGGTGCTCCATCTGCAGTTGAAAAGGTAACAGGATTTAGTCCTTTTTCATTCGTAAACTTGGACCCCATATGTGAAAGAAATGGAGGATGTTAAGGGAAAAATATCATCAAACTTAAAAATAATAATTGTGACCACAATAATATATACTCCGTATCTTGGAAAAAGAAGATGAATATGTCACATTGCAGTACATCATGCATATGTGAAATCCGTAGCTACTATCAAGGGTGTTAAATATATTCTATATTTATGTTAAATATATATTCTATATTTATTGTATGTATATTGTTTCCTATTGTAGAATCCTACCATGATTAGGATTAGGAATAGCTTGTGTATATAAACACATGTACTCCCACATTATTGTTTAAGGAAATTCATAATTCTTCATGGTATCAGAGCCATAATCTCTCAACCCAAAAAAACCCTAACCCTACCCGTGCTCTCTCCCTCCCTCTCGGCGTGCTTTCTCCCAGCGCCGCACACCACCCGCCGTCCTCCTCTCCTCGGCGGCAGCAGCAGCGCAGCACAACCCCTCTCTTCCTCGGCGGCGACAGCGCCCTCCCCTCTCAATATGGCTTCCTCTGATAAACCCTCAGAAAACTCAACCTCTTCCTCCTCCTCGAATGCTCCTCATCTTGCCTTCACAACAATCTCCAACGTCAAGCTTCATGTCCCGATTCAGCTCAGCTTTTCTCAGCCCAACTACAAAAAATGGAGCCGGCTCTTTCTCCTCCTGGTGCGCCGATTCACCCTCCACGGGTTTCTCTCAGGTTCTAACACTCCTTCTGCCGATGATGATGAATGGTACCAGCTTGACGCCCTGATCCAAGGTTGGATTCTCTCTACCATCACTGACGAAGTCTCAGATCTGGTTATCTCCACCACCACCACCGCCGTTGAACTCTGGCGGGTTATTCATGCTCTCTTTCATGACAACAAACATGCTCGGGCGATGCAACTCGAGCACCAGTTTCGAACCACCATCAAGGGTTCGATGACAATGGCCGTCAAACTTTGCGAAACATTGCCGATTGGTTGGATGATGTTGACGCCCCGGTCTCTGAGTCTCAACTTGTGCTTCAAATGCTTCGTGGGCTACCCGACGATCTCCAGGCTCTGACATCGTTCTTGCAATTCCAACAACCGCTGCCCACGTTCCTTCAGACCCGATCCGCTCTCCTGCTCCTTGAACGGCAACGACAAACCATCATGGACGACGCCGGCAAGGCGGTCATGGCTGGCCGAACCGGCAGCTCACCATACGGCGGCAGTAGCGGCGGTTTCGGGCGCAGCGGTGGGATGCCCGGCAGTGGGCACAACGGCGGCAGCGGCGGCGGTCGCGGGCAGCAGGGGAGCAACTCCGGTCGCGGTGGAGGCGGCCGTGGACGTGGACGAGGAAGAAACTCTGGTTCGCAACGACACCCGTATGACGGCTACGTACCTTGGAACTCACCGCATCCCAACCCGGGCTCGGGTCTCCTCGGCCCGCGTCCACCCTACCCAACCCAACCCCAATGCCCATGCACACTACACCTACACCCCAAACACCCCACCCCAACCCTACGGCCTAACAGC